ATTGAACATTCATTTCTCAGGCTCATTACACTAATTTCCTTTCGAACTGTCATTATGATGGACACTCAGCAATGGTTAATTTTACAAACATCATCCTTTTTCTCTTATGTGCAAAGCCCACATGGTCCTAACTCTACATCCACTTGGCTACAGGAAAGCCTGTTCTTTGCCAAACATGTGACATGGAAGGAATATGCTTAACAGTTTTCCACAAGAGGTTTTCCAGGCCAGGTGGGTTCATTAACCAAACAATTTCACCTGAGACTTTGAGAGCTTTCCTGTGCACACTTATGTAAGAACAAGCCTATTAAATTAATGGTCCTTACTTCCCTGTAAACCCACATAAGGTAAAGCTGTAGGGATTGCATGTTATTCCTACTTCTGTAGTCCAAAATATCGAGACCATTCCCCTTTGTCACTGTTCTGGTTTTCACTAAGTCATTTTCCAGTATATTATATATATTCACCTTATTTTATAGTGGAAAACCACTTTCTACAACAATTTTCACAAGAAAAAGAATGAGAAATATTACTGGCCTCTTACCATTATATTTAATCACTTTTAAAAAATCATATGCTTATTTTTCATACTTTAAAAATGTTATGAATATGGTCAGGGAAATCCCATGGATTCCATTTGTTATTGGCTGACCCATTAATCTCTTTATTTTATGTTCAAACAAGAAAACAACAGGAGTGCCAGAAAACAGTTATTAGTAGAATTCATAGAATAGTAGAGTTGGAAGGGCCAAGAAGACCATCAGGTCCAACCGCTTGCTCAATGCAGGGCTCCAAGTTAAAGCAGATGGCTATCCAGCTGTCTCTTGAATGCCTCCAGTGTAGGAGAGCCTCCAACCTCCCTAGGTAATTGGTTCCATCATTATATTGTTCTAAGAGTCAGGAAGTTTTTCCTGATGTTCAACTGGAATCTGGCTTCCTGTAACCTGCGTCAGTTATTTCATGATCTGCACCCTAGGAAGATCAAGAAAAGATCCCAGACATCCTTTGTGTGACAACCTTGCAAGTACTTGGAGAGTGCTATCATATCTCCCCCCAGTCTTCTCTTCTCAAGGCTAAATGTTCTTCCAGTCTCTTCTCACAGGGATTTGTTTCCAGTCCCCAGTCATCTTCTGTTGTCTTCTAATAGGGTTGTGATGATTCTTTTGGGATCCAGATCACTTCTGGTTGTTGGACTTCCTCTCATGCTTGGCCCTGGTTTAGGAAGTGAGCTGAGCTGAGAGAAAGCCTGTGAGCACTTGTAAAACTCTGGTTATGCAACCAGCAACCTACTTTTGCAGTTTGTGCTCCACAAAGAAAGGCAGTGCATCATGCACATGGATGAGGACTGCTGCTTGATTTCTGTATCCTTGAGTTTGAGGGCTTTATTTATTAAATTTTTACCCCACCCATTAGCCAGAATGACTCTCTGAGCAGCTTTGGGTTAAGAGTTATGAGCAATTCATATGAGTGACTATGAATGACTGCATTGGAGCAGCACTGGATCTAAGAGTATCTGCACGCTACATTCATGATCCTTCAGTGGGAGTGCTATCCTACCCAGAAGAGCTGTACTCCCACTTCGAGGTTGTCCTGTCTATGAACCAAAATGACATCCATTTTTTTTCTGGACAGAGCCTAAGTTTGTTTGTTCCCATTCAGCCCTTTGCTGCAGTTAGACACCGATTCAGGATTTCCATTAGATATTGATTCAGGATTTCAACAGCTTCCTTAGCACCAATTGAAAAGGAAACACTGAACTGAGTATTATCAATAGTGATAAGACCCAACACCAAAACTCCTGATGACCTTGCTGGAAGATCCAGTACATAGGCAGCATGTGACTATGGTTGGAGCACCAAGATCAGAGATGATGGAGATCTTAGGACCAGAGGCAGAGTAGGAAAAAGTGAGGGTCAGATACAGACAAGGCATGGCAGGTCTAAAAGTAAAGGCAGAATCAGGAACATGCAACAGTCAGATCTTGACAAGGCATGTCAAAACTGGTAACAATAGCAAGGATCAGATACCTGAAGGCAGGATTGGACCATGGACAAGAGCAGAGACACTGTCTGGAATATGCAGCTTTAACCCTCCTTCAATAAAAGTCTTAGCATTAGAGAGACATATTGCTCATTCAAAGAGGCATTAACAATTTTCACCACCCAGTGGTTCATCCTGCTATGGCAGCTCATATTAGAAGAGAGACTGTGTCCAAAACCTCGTAGCTGGCCAGAGCCCTCCAAGCAACTTGGCTACCTCCTCAGGTTGAACAAAGTGAAACTCATCCATTTAAATAGAACAAGCGGCTTCCCTGTCTGTATTCAATGCTGAGTCCAAATTGGAGTGAACATACTACATATACTTGCTCTTCTCTACTTTTGGGGTCAGAAAGTCATAGCTGTTTAACCACTCAAAATAAAGTTACTATATTATACTGATGCAATAGAGGCAAAAAAGGCTTCTCTGCTCTCACCATCATGGAATAGGTCTTAAGATGGGATCCAACATGTTCAATTGCATTGGACTAAGTTTTCTTAACTGTTGCCAGAGAGCTCTACACTGTGGGGCAGACACTTGGGGGCAATTGGGTCAACAGCCCCGATTCTAGATTAGCCAGGACTTTGAGAGGATTCACAGATCTAGCAGGGAAAAAAATCCCCCAGAGTATTCAGGATTCACTAGATGCTGGTGGTTAGGAGTCCATGTAAATCTAAGTTTTACCGGGTAGAGATATCCACAACACGGTTTTTACACCCCCATGGATTACTTTAATCCCGGTGAGCAAAAATGAAACTGTGTGTGTATGTGGGGGAGCAGGGCAGATATTGAGATGGGCCCATTAAAGTTTGAGCACTGGTACTAAGGGGGCCTCAGTCTTAATATTGAAGTCCCCCATCAGAATCAACACTGCCTCCATCTGCTCAGCAGGGAAAAATTGTCTTTCACAAAACCAGTCCCTGGTGCCAAAAAGGTTGGGAACCACTGACAAAGTAAAAACAACGAATCCTAGACTCTTACCAAAAACAAAAACAAAAAAAACCCCCCAAACCCACGACTGAAACAAAACTGGTGCAAATGTTATTTGAAATGGAAAGATATACATTCCAGTGAGGCTATTTCATAATCTGGGCACCAGAGTTCAAAAACTCTGTCAGCAGAGTGACTATACATAAGACCTCAGGAACTAGATGACGTTCTCAGATGGGTTCATATGGCAAAGCAGTACCTAGGATACCCTTCATTCTAGGCCATTTGGGAATTTAAAAGCCAACACTAGCACCTTGACCTGAACTTGAAAACAGCATTGGGGGGGGGGGGGCTTCACTAGCATAATCCCTAACCTGTCTTACTATCCTCTCACCTGATGCAGGTACTCAGTTCTAAGAGATTTCCAAACACAGCTGCCATTTTGCTAGACTTCTTCCACAGCACTAGAACGTTATTTATGAGATTCTTGAGCTGTGAAAATTCTGAATTCTGGCTGGATATAAAACTTTGTGAAAATGGGCACTTCCCTAAAATAGTTGGAAGGTGGGTGGAGGTGAAGAGAGCATCAGAAAATAGAACGCATGTTGACAAATAAGTAACAAGTTGCTACTGAACTCGATTTCTCTCCCTTTTACTTCCTTGCAAATTACATGTCTAATAAATCTACCTTAAAGAAATTAATCCTCCTCCCAAGAATTTGTTACTTTATGGAAAAGTTCTTACAAAATACATCACTTGAATATCCAACTTTTTTTGGGGGGTGGGGGAGAAAATGTTTCTATGCATTTCAAGTACGCCTATTTTTATTTGATTTATAACCCACCTTTTTAAATATCTCAAAGCAGCTTTCATCATTCTCTTCCTCCTGGTTCCAATCTTATCCCCACAACAACCCTGCCCCAAATAGACATTGTCATATTTGTTATATTGCCCTATAGATCCTCTAACTGTTCTAGTCTCTCCCCCCCCCCCCCGCAAATTCATCTGTCAGAAACCCATTGCATGTTGGTGTCATTGCATTGTTACGTTCCATCAATGCTGTAGATGGAGATTTGAGTTACACAGTAGATTAGATTTGAATTTAGCACCTGGACAAACACAGGTCCCTGAGAAAGGAAAGAAGCCAGAAAGAACACTTGGCTCACTTTGTTTTCTCAAATAGGAACACTTTAAATGCTGCAGATGAAGAATAAAACTAATTTTCCAGCATTGTTGAGCATTCATTTCTCTAAAATAAGCATACTGTAAATAGGCATACGTGTAGCTTGCAGTAGTAAATGGCCAATCTAAGATGAAGCGTTATAACCAAGGAAAACAGTTCAACACTGTCCATTAGTTTTGTATCCAGAATTTTCAGTCATAAAGAGGTGCTGAAAAGATAAACTGTCCTGTGTGTGAGTGGGTCAAAGATCCTAAAAGAACAGCTAAGCCAGAGTTGGTGACTGGGCATTGTGCAGTGTTCTAGGGTATTTAAAGGAAACAAATTAAGAGTTCTAGAAAGAGGAACAACCCCTTTTCACATTCTTTTGAGTGTCCAAGCCAATCTCAATTGTGTAAACTATTGATCCTCGTGAGGATAAGTTAAGCATACATGATTTTACAGATAGGATTTTTAGCATGTTCTTCAGCTAAATGGGGGAAAACAGACTCTCAGAGTAGTTTCCAAAGATCAATAATTATGCAGCCTCTGAGGTGTACATCCTAAAAGACATGATTCCAAAAGGAGAAAAAAACCTAAATAAGAAGGGGATGAAGCAAACACGAGGACTAGGTATTACTTACAAGGTTCTTAAAAATCAGGTAGCTGGACTGCATGCAAGGATATGCAAGATCATCTTTTCCAAAAAGCTCCCTACTCCCATGACCTCTCCATCTAAGAGTGGCAGTCAGTGAGATCTTCCCATATTCCACCCTAACTCTTTCTACTCTTTTAGCAAGCATGTCACTAAGAATCCTTACCAGTAGTTATTTCTATTAATTGCTAGTACAGGAAAGATCACAACAATGCCAAAAATATTTCATGTTTCATTTATATTTACAGTCAGTCTCATAGCATAAGACATTTTACAATGAATAAATAATAAACAAACTTCTCCCCTCATCATTTCCCCCATAATAAAAGTATATGCTGTTTATCAAGTCACAGCCACATTTTATAAATATGGCAGTTAAGCATGTAATTTAAAAGTTTCTCTTGTTAAATGACTTGAATGATTTAACTGACTTCTTTCAAATGCATCCTTAAAAACTTCTCTGCTCACAAAATTTTAGAAAATCTCTGGGCTTTAAGGCACCCATACAAACAATGTATTTCCTATTTTTTGTTTTTATAGAACTTATGTTTGGAATTTACATTTGTTCCAAAAGTATCCTAGGTGGTGTGTAGGTTGCTGTAGGTATACATGCGTAAGCTAATCTGATATTAAAGAATTATGATACAATTTAAGGCTTACAGTAGAAAATGAACCTTTTAACAATGCTTTTTATGGAGAGATTTTGTTTTAGGATTCTTGACCTGTATTTAAAACACATTGCAAGTATTCTTGTTCTTATTCAGTTCCTAGTAAGATTATAGATAATGGGTTGGAAACATAATTAGGAACACACAATTGGGCTGGTGTACCCATGGAGCAACTTCTAAAAAATGCTACACTATAAAGAAGCGTGTGAGCACTGCTGAAAGGGGTACATTGTGGTGTAGGTAGAATGGTGACTTGGATGGAGGCACTTTCCATGAATGTAGTTCTGCCGATGGAAGGCGCTTCTTCACAATTTTCAGGGCAGAAGATGGGTGGGAAAAGTTTGCTTCTGCAGCCCAGTTGCACACACTTCAATTGAAATCCAGTGTTGTGGATATTATGAACTACTTGGTGAATATAGTTTCATGCCTGCTGCGATACTATAGGAATGCATCCTATATTGCTTAAACACAGAAGTTGACAACATGTTTACACATGCAAGTTAAAAAGGAGAAAATGGCAGCTTAAATTTCTTTTATTTTTATGTATTTTCTTAAGGAAAGAAATCATACTTAATTTTGCATTTGAAAGCTTGGTTGTACTTACGCAATTGCCACTAAGAACACTACCAGAAACTGATCTTTGAACACAACAGAATAGGAAAACCTACCAGTGATAAAAGTGGGTTCTATATACGTAATTCTGAACTGATGATTAGACGCTTGTACCTCACACATCACAAACTGTGATGTGCATATTGAGATACCTTGTATCATGTCACGTACAGAATATGAATTTCCTGATTGCTTCCATCTCTCTCACTTTCATGAATAAGTTTACATCTTAAATATGTAAATACTGCTAGACATTCTCTAAAATATACACCAAGTTGTACTAATTTCCACTTTAGAGTACACAAACACTTGCTAAACAACACTGTTTGTTTTATCCCATTGTTGCTCATCCTTATTTACACAAAGTAATTTAGAAATATACAACTACATTCTGTGAATTCTCAAGAAAATGCTGTGATAAATCATTTCTAAAAATTATTAGGTATGAAAAAACATTTGAGGATCATGTATTTGTATTACTTGTTAAATAGTCCAAATGCCAAAGAGGTATTAGGCTTTCCTGGCTCTAAAATATTTATACAAAAGCAGCTAGACAGACAAGTGGATGACCACATGAGTTCAGTGATTTTAGCTCATACTGGATCGACTTATCAATAGCTTTTCCAGTTGCTGTATGATTAGTAGTGAAAATTCTAGCAGAGAACTCAATATTGTTTGAATTTAAAAGTCATATCTCAGAAAACCAATCTGGATTTATCTTTCATTTCCTAATAGTTGAAATAAATACATTTCTCATGCATTTCAATAAGTTCCAGAATTTAATTGCCTGCAGAGATCATCAATGCACAGTACATTGTTTTGTTTTTATTAAAAATTAAATCAGGTTCAAGTGAAACAAAAAATATTTGATAGCAGATGTTGGCTTTAACATGAAGAAGTCATAGTGAGCAGGAGTCATTCCTTGTAAAATCATTTTTAACTGTTATATAGGCATTTTATAACTATAAGATCTAATCGTAAGCTATTCTTACCCTGTAATACATAGAGCAACTCATTCAAACATTTTTAATTAAAAATTCTAATTTGAAGTCTTCTGTTCTGAATTTTTGCTTTGGTCTCTTTATCTTTCTTATAGTTCAATCACTATATAGATTTTTATTTCTACAGAAACACTAAGATTGACCTGATTTTACTTGGTACCACCCCATCTACAGATTAACAGTGTTCTTACTGTTCTTCTATGTTTTAAAACTGACAATTTTGTAAAAAACTTTGTAAGTTTTTAAGGGTTCAGGTTTTAACATCCGAAAGAACAGCTTTCAAAAAGAAATGCTAACTGCATTCATTATAGTTGTATGTCTTAAAATGCCTTAGCAGAAATTCAGAATACAGTTCACATAAAGGGAAAAAACCCTTCATAATCACGAAGTATAACTGTGATAATTAATAGCTGCATTTTCATAACTTAGTACACAATTGCTCTAACTGAAAATAATGGAACACATTGTGGAAAGCATGTTTTGTCCAATAGGAATAAAGAAGCTGAGATGTACAAATTTTTTTCTTTTCTGTCTTCCAGAGTCTTTTATTCTATTGCAGGTTTGAAAGCAATGTATTCCTGACATTTTCCAATTTTTACTGCACGAACAGAATGCTAAAGGCCATTGCAATACAACAGATAGCTACGTAAGGGCTCTTCCGTTCACCTGAAATAAGAAACAAAATTGAATTTAGTGGCTAGTTCTCACACATAAGTATGATATTTTTTTTGTTTGCCCTTTGTTGAAAATGCAGTGATGTGAAACAGGAGGATCAGCAAAAGAAATAACACACATTGAGAATTACAAGTAACAGGTAAAGATGAGGTTCCACCCCGATACTCACAAACAGGGAGGCTGGGTAAAATGACAGATTCCGCCTAATTATTGGCCTCAATTATTTCCAGTGAAAATTTTGGGGATATCCTACAAATACTAAATTTGTAGAACCACAGAGACCTGTAAGAAATCTTGTCCATCTTGGGAAGTTCTGCAGCTGGTAGAAAGAAGCTAGTGCAGAGAAAGTGGAAGGACAAGTGGTGTCTTTAATAATAGGCCTTACTCCTTAGAATGTACAATGCCCCACAGAAGTATTCACCCTGCCTTTGACTTTTCTAGTTTTTGTTTTCTTACATCCTGGAACTGAAATAAATTTAATGGACGTTGTTATCACTTGAAGTATGCATGAACACCAAGAAGCTATCAAAACAGCTCTGGGATAAAGTTATGTAGAAGTACCAGTGAGGCTTATAAAAATATCCCAAATTATGAAAATGAAATTGTAAAATATTCTGCTTATAATGACTCAAATGGAGATTGCAACCAATAAAATTAGATGGATACTTCAAAGGGCAGCAATGGAAAAGATCATCAAGTGTAAGGATGTTTCACTAGAAACCAAGATCACTACTGTATTCCCAATCACTATGCATGGGTATGATGGGTGGATGATGAAGAAAGCTGACAGGAAGAACACTGATACATTCAAACATAAGGCTGAAGGAGAGCTTTGCGATTACCCTGGATCCACAGAAAGATAAATACGTGGGTCTTAGATCGAGCTAGGACTTGCCCTAGAAAGCAAAAATTATGAAACTGAGGCTGTCATACCACAAGGATATCATGAGAAGGAAGCACTCACAAGAAGCCATGCTAAGGAAAGTCAAAGGTGGAAGAAGACCAACTATAGGATGTAATATTTCCATACATGGACCCCCACAGCCTTGAATTCTGGAGCTAAGTAGGGCTGCCAAATGCAAGGTATTTTGAAGGACATTAATTCATGGGGCTACCTAGGTTGCAGACATCTTGAAGGCATGGAACAACAACAAAATGGAAAGACTGTGACTCAGCTGTGACGCTGCCTAAAGAAGGCTGCTCACCAAGACACAGTTACCAGGTACGGAAGACATTATTCAGAGATGCAACCAAGAGGCCAATGGCAACACTGAAGAATCTGGAGAGATCTGCAGGTGATATGGGAGACCCTCTCAATCAGCAAACTATCACCTGGATGTTCCACAAACCTGGGCCTTATGGAAGAGTGACAAAAGGAAAGCCACTGCTAAAACAAACCCATAGCAAAGCCTGTTTAGAGTTTGTAAAAAGGCATGGAGGAGAAACAGCCAGTATGTGGGAAAAGGTTCTCTGGTAAGATAAGACCAAAAATGGTCTTATCAAATGCAAAATGCTAGGTGTGGTGCAAAGCCAACAGTGCTTATTGTCCACAGAACACCATCCCCATAGCAGCATGTTGTAGAGAAGTTTTTCTTTATCAGGGACTGGGAAACTTTTCAGAATTGAGAGCAAGAGGGATGGTGCCAAAGACACAGCAATTCTGTTTTTAAAAAACTGTTTCAGACTGCAAGGGACCTGGGATTGTGATGGAGGTTTACCTTGCAGCAGGATAAAGACCCTAAACACTCAGCTAAAGCAATGCTGGAGTGGTTTAATAACAGGGCTCATTCAAAGCCCAGACCACTATCTGATTAAGAAACTGTGGCAAAACTTGGAAATGGTCCCTATCTAAATACCGAGCTGGAGAAGTTTTGCCAGGATGAATGGCCAAACATTGTGAAATCCAGCTAATAGAGACTTACCTAAGAAGATTCACCAATGTCATTGCTGCCAAATGTGTTTCTACCATGTACTGCCTCTGGGGTGAGCACTTATGTAACCAAGGAGTGCTAGTTTATTTTTGTTAACTTTTATGCCACAATAAAAACATTTTGCATCTTCCTAGTACTGAGTACCTTGTGTACATCAAGAGATAAAATGCCCATTAAATCATTTCAATTCCAGGTTTTAATGCAACAAAATGTGGGAATGTCAAAGGGAGTGAGTATTTCTGCAAGGCACCGTGGCTTCAATGAACTATGTCATCAATGTTGTTGGGTCAAGGGCACTTGGTTGTGTGTTGCAGTCCTCCTGAGCCAGCTGTTTGCCCTCACCTTGCACACATGAATTTGCCATCTGAGACTCTCAGCCAATAGGTACTGCCAGTCTCTAAAGCAATACAATGTCTAAATTATTATCTTGATCAATAGATCAGCACACAATTGTAGCAGTATTTCTATTTTGTAACATTTTAAAAATGTTTTAACTGAAGAATATTGCAAGACCTAAACTAATTTAGTAAATACATAAAAATTTCCATAGCAATAAACAGCTCAGTAACTCTTCCCATCAGTAAGAATACCACAATTACATTACAATACATTGTCATCATCTGGCACACATTTAATTAAACTGCAAATGGCTGTATGAATTAATGTCTACAATTCTACATTTGGTTATAATTAATATTGAGGAAGTCCACCTCCTACAGTTTCACAATTTTCATGTGTTGTATTTTTCTGCTCTTAATTTTCTTGAGAGAGGTATCCATCATCTGTTAGGATTAAATGTCTGTTAGTACCACTTTTAGAATTGGCAACGCTTGATTAAAGGTACACGCATCCAAAAGACTGCTTAAACACAAGGGGAGCAACTTGCCTTCTACATTCATGCAGATTTATACTTATCATTTGTAGAAAGCTGCAGAACAGTCTTAAGGGGAGAAAATCCAAATGACATACTGGTTCCTAGAATTTTTGAATCTTTAAACAAAAGGCTAATTTATAGCTTTGTCTAAGCATAATAAGGCCATATAAAATCAACTATATATTTGGGTTAAACTAGACAGGACAGATTGTTGACAAGTGAATTGTTTTTGATTTTGCTAGTTAAAAATCCCATGAAGATGTTTTGAGGCATGAAAATGTGACATTTGGGAAAGACTAACATTTTCTTCCAGTGCTCTTTTCTCACTCAAAGTCTCCCTACCCAGATTTTGCAATTAGCCCCATAGATAGTAGCATAAAGAGACAGATCCAGATGCTGTAGTGGTGATAGAACACACACTTACCAATCCTAGCACATTTCCAAAATATTCCCAATAATCTGAAAATACATTAAGAAAAATTAGAAGATATTCTGTATTTTAAGTCCAACAAGTATATACAGTTTAAATAAGATACAGTAGCTATGGGTGAGAATCAAAAAGCAACTTTAAAGCATGCCAACTGATTTAAGCATGCCCTGCTTGATTTTTTATTTTTATTTCTTTGGAAAAAAACAACCATTGTTATACCAAGAATAACTGTCCAAGACCCTTCAGCTACAAACTGGTTTGCCATGGAACTTATTGAAACATGGTGATGGAGGTATTTTTTTCTGAAATCCTCAAAGACCTCTTGGGCATGTGCCGTGTTTCCCCGAAAAATAAGACACTGTGTTATATTTGTTTGGCTCACAAAAATATACTAGGTCTTATTTTTGAGGTCTTATTTTTTTATTTTTTAATGTGTACAACAATCCACACTTACTCATGTACAACAGCATTTATACTTGTACATTTGGTATCACTCTGCCTATAACAGGAGCCGGCGCTATAGAGGAAGCATCGGCTTATGCAGCTCTGTGTGGAGGGCAGGGAGCGGAGGGAGCAGAGCTGCATAAGCATGTTTCCTCCACACAGTGCATTAAGTTAAAGTTAAGTTAAAAAATAAAGTTTAAAAAGGCTCTATGATCCCCTTGGCCCTGGGAATAAACACAGCTAGGTCTTATTTTTGGGGTAGGTCTTATATTTTAGCAAGTACCAAAAACAGTACTTGCGCCGGCAGAAGAGGCACCGCGCACACGACACCTGCGCGCGCGGCAGCGGCAGAGGCAGCAAACGCCCGCACCCCGGACTCCACCACCTGCCCTGACTGCCACCACGCCCGGCATGTGTGAGAGGCGTGGCCGGGCGCAGCGAACGTCGGAGGGAGGAAGCCCCGCGCCCTGAAAAGCGCCGGCGGCGGCCGGGGGAAGAGCGCCGGCAGAAGAGGCACCGCGCACACGACACCTGCTGGGCGACCAAGACAGATTGGGGATTCTGTTGGTGTACCGTGCACCCTTCTGCCCAACAGTCTCCCTGCCTGAGCTGACGGAGATCGTCTTGGACCTGGTGTTGAGGACCCCCAGGATGTTGGTCCTGGGGGACTTCAATCTCCATGCCGAGACTGATCTGACTGGGGCGGCTCAGGACTTCATGGTCTCCATGGCGGCCATGGGGCTGTCTCAACATGTCATCGGCCCGACCCATGAACGTGGACACACCCTGGACTTGGTTTTCTCGACGGGACAGGAAGAGGGTGGTCTGAGGGTGAGGAATCTATGTTTGACTCCCCTGTCATGGTCAGATCACTTCCTGGTGAGGTTTGTGCTCAAGAGCGACTTCTCCCTCTGTAAGGGTGCAGACCCGATTGTGTGGGTCCGCCCCCGGAGCCGGATGGATCCGGAAGGATTCCCGAAGGCCCTGGGGGAGTTTCCGGCTGACAAGACGGGTGCTCCTGTCGAGGCTCTGGTCGAACTGTGGAATGGGGAGATGACCAGGGCTGTAGACACGATCGCTCCTAAGTGCCCTCTCCCACCGGGCAGAGCCCGCTCTTCCCCTTGGTATACCCCTGAATTGAGGGCGATGAAGCAGGTTGGGAGACGGCTAGAGCGTAGGTGGAGGAAATCACGTGATGAATCTGACCGAACACACTTGAGAGCCCACTATTGGGGCTATGCTGTGGCGGTGAGGGCGGCGAAAAAGAGATATTTTTCCGCTTCCATTGCCTCCTCACAATGCCGTCCGGCGGAGCTTTTTCGAGTGGTGCAGGGCCTGGTTTGTCCAGGTCCGAAAGAAGACCTGGTTCCACCCTCAAAGGCCCGCTGTGACGACTTTGCCAGGCATTTCAGGGAGAAAATCGCTCAGATTCGTCACGAGCTGGATTCCACTATTGATACAGAGGTTTTAAGGGAGACGCCAATGCCGCCGTCTGGTCCAGAATTATTGGATGAATTTTAGTTATTGCGGCCCGATGATGTGGACAAGGTGCTTGGACGAGTACGTCCCACCACTTGCTTATTGGACCCTTACCCGTCTTGGTTAATAAATAATTCCAAGCACGGGATTGGGACCTGGATTTTGGAAGTGATTAACGCTTCTCTGAGGGAGGGTCGGGTGCCTGCCCCTTTAAAGGAGGCGGTAGTCCGACCGGTCCTGAAGAAGGCGTCACTGGATCCAGAGATGGCCACTAATTATAGACCAGTGGCCAACATCCCGTTTTTGGGCAAGGTGTTAGAGCGAGTGGTGGCGGGACAACTCCAAGCACTCTTGGATGAAACTGATTATCTGGACCCATTTCAGTCCGGCTTCAGACCCGGGTACGGTACTGAATCTGCCTTGGTCACCCTGTACGATGACCTGTGCAGGGAGAAAGACAGGGGGAGTGCGTCCCTGTTGGTTCTCCTGGACCTCTCAGCGGCTTTCGATACCATCGACCATGGTATCCTTCTGGACAGGCTTGCGGGATTGGGGGTTGGAGGCACTGCTTTGCAGTGGTTCCGCTCCTATCTCGATGGCCGGTTCCAGAAGGTGGTGCTGGGGGACTATGGCTCTGCGCCATGGCAGTTATGCCATGGAGTGCCACAGGGGTCCATTTTGTCCCCATTGCTGTTCAACATTTACATGAAACCGCTGGGAGAGGTCATCAGGAGGTGTGGGCTGCGGAACCATCAGTACGCTGATGATACCCAGCTCTACCTCTCGTTTTCCACCAATCCAGGTGAGGCAGTGGCTGTACTGAACCGGTGCCTGGCCGAGGTAATGGGCTGGATGAGGGCCAATAAACTGAAACTCAATCCAGACAAGACGGAGGTCCTGTTGGTTGGTGGTTCTGCCTTTGGAGAGGGTGAACTGAACCTTGTTCTGAATGGGGTTGCACTCCCTCTTAGGGACAAGGTTCGCAGCTTGGGAGTGCTCCTCGACCCGGAGCTTTCACTAGAAGCTCAGGTGACCGCAGCGGCGAGGAGCGCTTTCCTCCAGCTTCGGCTGATCCACCAGCTGCGCCCCTATCTGGAGTATGACTGCCTTGCGACAGTGACACATGCATTGGTGGCTTCCCGTCTCGACTTCTGTAACGCGCTCTACGTGGGGCTACCCTTGAAGACGGTCCAGATACTTCAACTGGTTCAAAACGGAGCTGCCAGGCTGCTGACGGGGACTGGGCGTTGTGTTCACATGACCCCAGTTCTCCGTCAGCTTCACTGGCTTCCCATTGAAGTCCGGGCCCAATTCAAGGTGTTGGTGATGACCTATAAAGCCCTAAACGGCTTGGGTCCTGGTTACCTGAAGGAGCGCTTGCACCCATATATGCCCAGCCGCCCCTTGAGATCGGTGGGGGAGGCCCTTCTCCGGGAACCCTCCATGAAAGAAATTAGGAGGGTGGGTACTCGGAGGAGGGCTTTCTCTGCGGTGGCGCCTAAGCTATGGAACACGCTCCCCAGAGAGGTCCGCCTGGCGCCGTCGTTATTTGTTTTTCGGCGCCAGGCGAAGACCTTTTTATTCAAGCGGCATTTTAACTGTTAACATTATTGGTTTTATCTGGCCAGGGCGGCTTATTTTATACTGTACTGTTGTATTTTAATTTTATATTTATATTTTAATTTATATTATAATTATTTTAACTTAATGATGTGAGCCGCCCCGAGGCTTCGGCGAATGGGGCGGCATAAACATGTTTTAATAAATAAAATAATAAATAGTCTAGGTCTTATTTCTGGGAAACACGGTAGAAGCAGCTACTTTTTAAAAGCAATCCATTCTTTATGTTATACAGCTGAAGTGCGGTATTTGCCCCAATCTCCTAAGGAAACATAGCACAAAGATCTTTTTACTATCTCAAGACACACAGTACAAAGTTTACTCTTCTAGCCATTGTGAAAAAGATTTTTTCTCTATTTGTATTTGAATCTTCCTAACATAATAATTGCAATTTCTACCAATTAACTTTGTGGAGGAAAGCATAGTTCTGAACTGCTGTTTGGAGACAGTTTTGGAACTGAAGAACAAACTAAAAGTTATTCAAGATGAAACAGGAGTTTAAGTCTCCTCTGAGACCATCAGAAATCCCATCTGAGGAGACTTCAGCTTTTGGGATAAGAACTGCACTTCCCTGAAGAAACAGGTTTGGGGTTACTTCTAGATCCAACTGGATCCTTCTGTAAATGCAGGTAGTGGTGATGTTTCTTTTTAAAAGAAACTTGTTAACTGCATCCTTTTCTAGAGAACTAAGACCAGCCCATATTAAGACTTGTCCAGGTCAGATATTGCAATGCATCTTTGTAGCACTGTGTTTGAAGGTTATACAAAGTACACATGGTATTATGGTATTGTGTACCAGCTTCACTGGCTATCGCTGTTTTCAAGTTTAGGTCAAGGTGCTAGTGTTGGCTTTTAAATTCCCAAATGGCCTAGAATGAAGGGTATCCTAGGTACTGCTTTGCCACATGAACCCATCTGAGAACTTCATCTAGCTCCTGAGGTCTTATGTATAGTCACTCTGCTGACAATTTTTGAACTCTGGTGCCCAGATTATGAAATAGCCTCACTGGAATGTATATCTTTCCATTTCAAATAACATTTGCACCAGTTTTGTTTCAGCCGTGGGTTTGGGTTTTTTTGTTGAGAGTCCTTAGGATTTGTTGTTTTTACTATCAGTGGTTCCCAACTTTTTGACACCAGGGACTGGTTTTGTGGAAGACAATTTTTCCATGGATCTGGTGGGGGGGGGGAGGTGGTTTTGGGACGATTCAAGTGCATTGCATTTATTGTGCATTATATTTCTATTAGGATTACATTGTATAGTGGTACCTTGGCTCACAAATGTCTCAGTTCACGACTAAATCGGGTTGCAAACAGAAATTTCATAAAAATTTTGCCGCAGGTTGCAAACTCCACATCAGGTGACGATCACGATTGCGCCCGCCTTTCCTGCACGGGTGCGATTGCAGTCGTGCTTGGGGGGGGAGGTGGCAATAATTGTGCTGAGAGGGGGAAATGGCTGCGATTACACCCAGAGTGCGGCCACAATCGCACCTGTTCCCCCCCAAAACAAAATCTTGCTTTAAAAGATAGAACTTTATGAAAATGGTTGTGATAAATGAATTAAAATGTGGAGCTAAGCATTCACATATTCAGAATACTTAATACAAATTTCTTCTGTCAATAATGTGAAAAGAAAATTAATATGTAGTAATTTACATGTACTTCTCATTCCCCCCAAATTTTAGGCATTCACTTACCCAGTCTGATTGTTATCCAGTAATTTGGGAGCCAAAGATCTTATGTATGCACAAGTACATATAAGCAGCAAAATTACTGTCAGCAGACTCTGAAAATTGAAGATTGCAGACTAAAAGGAAAAAAACAAAACAAAATAGAAGTTATGACTTAGCCTTCAAAAATTCTTCCTGTTCCATTAATTAGTTTCTCCATCTCTTTCAGGTGAGATGAAAATTGTGATTTGTGAGGGTGTACTACATCTTTGCATCGTGGACCACTCCAGTACATCTATACTCCCTAAATTTCCTAAATGTCAAAAACATACTTTTTTTAAAAAGAAGGCTGCCCTTACTAATGGTATATGGACCACAAACCAGCCTTAAGTTCTAGTTTGCAGGCAAACAAAAATAATAAAAGTGATCTAAAACTCCTGATTTACAGCTTAGCAAATATTATGCAGCTAGCTCATTATGATGGATGAGGTGCATACAGATGGAAGACTTGCACAATTCAAGCACACAGTGAGTATCAGATGTACACTGCTCCCTTGGCCACGCTCCATCAGTGATAAGCAAGACTGTAACATCACTGCAGAATTATTGAAAGGTACAGTAGTTTATGTTTCCCCATAGGCATTATAGCCACTGGAGTATAAATTAATAATGATGTGGGCTGTCTGGAAAAAGTAGAACTGGTAAAGTTTCCAATGCTCCGAATAGCGTTATCTGATTTAGAATATTTTGACTCATCCTTAGTTTGCAATACACCTTCCTCAATAAGCACACAGAATATCTCAATAAATAGAAAGGCTAGTCTAATTCATGTTAATTTTACATGAAGCATAATTATATCAAAGATGTCTTCAACAGCTAGAAAATATTTGAACTGAAATATCTGCTTGGGGGGAATTAAATTAATTACACGCTATAGTTTGCATTTATAGTCAAACAACATCATAGCTTTATGTGGAAATTATTTTCTTGACAAGTTTGTAAAAATGTAAAGACAACAGCGTACACTTCCTTATGTTTTTTATGTTCCTTATGTTTTTTATACTTATCAAAAATTATTCCACTGAAAGAACACACTATTATTAGGATATATACCCAAAGAGAGCTGATGTCTTTTCAACAGTTTAATTTTCTTTTGCTGAGGTAACTATAGTACTTTCAACTACTTGCACTGGTCATTGGTTCCATTTCAAATTGAAGAGATCTAATTCAGTTCACTACAGTATGGATGTGGGTCTGTGGGCAAAGGATGGTGAACTTGTGTTGTCGCACTTGTGCCGATTGTGGGATCCCACGGGCAATCTAGCATGACTCTTACATTCTTAGGCTAAGTGAAAGGGCAATCACAATATTAAGCTTCAATTTTCCTTTAGTTTGCTATTGAAAAATGCTAGCATATGTAAGTGTGGTCCAGACCCAGCCAGGAATGAACTGAATTGTGCACAGCAAGGAGTTATATCTTATTTTTCAGTTCCTCCATGGGCAAATGAGCACTCGGATATCAATGCTTGTCTAGAAGAATAACTTATGGAAGTTCATATCCTATAATTAGGCCATCTAACATGATTGATTGCAGTACAACAGCCTGGACAACTGTGGTTAAACACAGAAATATATAGTATGGAAAATTTTCCATACAAAATATAGCATCCCCACATTTGTGTAAATTTAGCAGTTAATCTTAGAGTGGGGAGGGCTAAGTCTGTTCTTATAAGATGCTGAGAACCAAATCTGCTATCATTGGATAAGGGCTATAGCTCAATTTTGCATGATAAAGGTCCTAGATTTAATCTCTGACATCTCCAGACTGGGAAAGGGTTAGGGTGGAAAGTTGCTGCCAGACAGTGTCACTAAGTCTGGGAGCTATGAAGATGAATAGGGTCTTCCTTTGTTCCTGCCTACATGGCCTCATTATGGATTGCATTTCTTGGTTATGCTTAAGTGTGACAGATTGTTGAGAACTCTGACAAGTAGGAACTTGAATTCAGGCATATAGTATCATTGCAAATACAGCTTCAAACTTACTAGCCTGGAGAGATGAAGCTGATGTACAAAAAACAGACATCTGCTTTTTTAGATGAGTGATTTACATAGAGTAACATGAAAAGTGCAGTTAACTCTACAAAACAGAGAAGGCAGCCATTTATAGCACATGGAAACTCTGGCCTTCAGTGAGCCCCCATCTGGCCTCCCAGCTTCTTTCCCAGGCCTTATCCCATAACCCACCCCACTGAGAAAAGCATGATCAGCAGCTGAATGGAAAGGTGTTACCTGCAGGAGAGAAGCAGGGAATGGGTAAGCTACTTCTGAGACTCATCCTACTTACTTGTGAGTAAAAATGAAACTTGGTATTTGGAATTCTACTTGAAATTACTGCCATATAATTCAGTCCCGCTTATGTCTGAATAGGCATGCAGAACCCTTCTCATGCTTACTTCTGAACAGACTTATAACAAGTAATAATCATATCTTGGCTTTGCCCACAGATGGAATGCACACCCTGAGACTTTTCCTAGTTGCAATTCAGTCATACGGAGTTCCGACATATCACAAATACTATGAGTTAAAGTTTCACCTAAAAACCGGAAAACCTAAGCAAGCTATTTTAGCATACATTACAATGAAATGTTTGGTACCACTTGAATGAGGCAGAAGGAATGCTGCCTCTGTGTTCCATCTTTCTTCCATGCAAATTACAACAGTGAATGTTTCATTATCCCCCAACTATGAAATGCGCTATTCAGTCACTATCACTCAGCATAGTCTATGGTAGAGCTGCACTTAAAGTTGAGTCAAGTTCAACACTCCATCCATCATACTGATCTCTAGATATGGGCCCCAACTTGCCCTTGTGCACCTGTGTGATCACATATATTACATCTAGGTGAAGTAGCAGGGCTACAACACTAAACCAGCCTTCTGGTTCTAATAGAGAAAATATACTGATGTTTCCTTCTATCCCTCCAAAGTTTGGAGCAAAGTAAAATTACAGAAGGATGTTGTTATTTAGGACCATGTGTTCTTACAAACTGCTGCCTACCTGAAGCTCTGAGCAGCTTCTATTATTGGCGGTAATGAGTTTTATGCTTTACATTTATTTATATTTCACAATAAACACAGAATATCTGTTACTTTAACTGAAACTACAAGACTCTCTTTTTCCTACCTTGTACAATTCTCTGCCCACTTGCTGGATTCACCAGTAATTTTCAGGACAAAAGTTTAAGATTACAGCCACAGGTCACAACTATTTATGCTTACCTGGACATAAGCTTTGTTGCATTCACAGGAATGTTTTTCACAGTAATCATGCACAAGTTGCACAGCTACACTTTCAAGAGCTACTCAAACAAATACACCTGCCAAGTGTTAAATATATTTAGGTCCTACTGTTATCAAAAAATTACTTGTCCCATGGAAGATCTTCCCCAAAATACACACTTTCCATGAAGCTTTTTGCTCAAGTAAGTTTCCATGTTCTGCTGCAAATAAACCTGTAGTCATGTGTAACTAAAACCATTACAAGTTATCCCTATTTACCCCACCTCTACTTTTGTGTTTTCCCATGTTGAATTTTATTTTGCTGTTTCCTATGAATTTTGTAAGCTTCTATTAAAAACATATTCACATTCGATAGAATGTATAGTTCAATCCTCCCAAATTTAAATATGATATAGCTTTGAATTTTAAATGTTCCTTTTTCGATGCACCTATGGCACTAAACTATTCGTATCAAAAGCACTGGTTTTAATTTTAATTTATTAATTTTTAAAAGTTGTTTTTATATATAATGTTTTATTTGGTCAATTATAATATTTTAATTGTATTATTTTATTAATGTTATTGGTATTTCATTGTAATGGCCACTCAGAAAGTATTATGCTAATTGTTGGTTTTTATACAAACTTAGTAAATACATAAATAAAATGCCAAGAAACATTAGAACTACGATCCTATGCCCTCTCAAATGAGAGCATGCGAGACTGAAAACTATTTTTTTCCAGTTTTTTTCATGTAAGCATGGAAAGAAGAGGTTGCCCAGATATAAGTACCTACTAATTCTAGCCATCTTGAGCACCTGCTCTTGACAGAAAGGCATGGGTACAAAATACATGTATAATCGTTTAGTAAATACTGCTTGAACATTTCACTTACAGAAATTTGCATAAGCATACTGAAACCTGGGTAGAACAGATTAGAACTGTATAAAAACCGTGCAATTTTAAAGAAATACTTTATTAGTTACAATGCACTTGTGAAGATTTTCAAAGCTGTTTTGAAGTCAAATGAAGTAAAAGTATACATGCATTAAAAGACCAGGAAAGAAGGCAGCCACAACGGAAAAAACGGGGGAAGGGTGGGGAAGAAGTTTCCCAAGAGAATTTCTCCATCAAATGCCACACAAAGGAGGAGATGAAAAGCAAATAGATAACAGGTGACGTCCTTCCCGATACTAGCAGTCCTTTTTTCAGGCTAGGCCGCTACTGCAGGTCAGAGGAGAGGGGACAGAAGGTGGGCGACGCTTCATGGCAGTGAGAGGAGGCATGACAATGCGCATCGTTGACCCTAGCAAGAGGGCCTCATTCCCAGCCCCTTCCGTACTGCTAAAGTCCAAGCCTTACAAACGCGGAAAGGAAAAGACAAAGATGACCGGAGAAGCCCCCTCGGTCACCCCGAACGCGGCACTTACCATAGTTACGCACCGCCACGAGCCACATCACACATCCGGTAGTCAAGGGGCGGATGACGGCAAGCACGGGCCCTCGGGTGCCTGCTGATTGGATGAGGGAGAGGGAGACCCCGGATAGGCGCAAGCGAAGCCGGGCTCTGTGTTCTGATTGGAGGAGGCGGTGGGCCGGACTAGGCATGAGGACTGGGGGAATGCGTCGGTGCTGCTATTTCGTTGGCTGAAGAACAGAAAGGCGGAGGGTAGTTTTTAAAATTATTTTAAAGAAGCCGGAACTTAGAATTTCAGAGGTAGGCGAGTGGTGCTTGAGGAAGCGGACTGTCTTAATGTAATCGTGTGGTTTTCCTGCAGTTTTAATAACAGGAGGGCTGGCAGGCAGAGAAGTTCCTCCAAAGGGCCCTTTGAACGGGTGTAGTACGTGTATGAAAGAGGAAGAGGAATGCCAGGAAGGGGCTTCTCTCTTTCCCCTCTCCCTCGTCCTCCCGTGGCTGGGAAGAGACTCTTGGCATGCCCTCGGAGGCAGAGAGCTCGCTTGCAGTTCGTGGGCATTCGCGCCTCCGCATGGGCCGGGCGTTGGGATTGCTCAGCTTGCCCCTCATGCGTCTGCTTGGCCTCTGGGAGTTGCCTTTGCGGAGCAAAATTGCGCCAACGAGCCCCGCTCTGCGATAACAAGGACTTCCGCGATGCAGTAGACGTCAGAGCTCGGAAAAAAGGCTCCCTTTCTGCAGAGAGAGGTGTTGCTGACGAAGGGGTGCCGTAGTGGAGGCTAGGTAACGTCAGACCCTGGACTTCTTGGCCTTACAGCGGTCTGCTTTGCAGTGCCCTGTGGACTCATTGTGAAGCATGCAACCAACATTTGTCCCCAGGGTCTGGGGAGAAAGGAAGAAAAATGCTAAGAATGTGCAGTTTTTGCTTTGGAACACACTCGAAGCATTGCAGCGACACGATGAGAGGAATAAAAGTAGAGTTTGCACCTGCCTCTCTGATACTAAATTAGGAATAAGCACGAGTAAAATTAATAGTACGGGCACCTGTCATCCTGCACATGCCTGGCTCACTGCCTCCCTCATTATGACATGCCTTTAACATGCTGTGCCAATCCCAGTAGGCCCTTGCCATGCACATAGTGGCCTAAGTTGCTGACATTGGGCCTGTGTGCTGCTGCCTGTACCAACTGTCAAGCTCTAGGTGGTCACTTGAGGAGAGGACTGGGCTTCTGCCACTGAAGGGTTGCCAACCAGACTGCCTCCAAGAGAGACAGAGAGGTGTTAATCCTATACTTGCTTCTGGAAGCTCAAGATAGTGTACATGTTCTTTTATCTTCACAATGAGCCTGTGAGGAAGCTTTGGTGGAGTCATTTCCATCAAAAGGTTACCTGGTGAGCTTCATGGCTAAGGGGAGGCTGTGAACCTGGCTGCCTCTGCTCCAAGTTGAATGGTTTTTCGAGGGGATGCGGTGAGGAACACCTGTGACACTGTAGTTCCTATGCAACCCCAACTTCCTCTCCATGCCACCTCTTCCCAACCTGGTGGCCTTTGAAGAATTCTCTCAGAATTCACATCCAGCGGAGCATCGACTGGGACTTCTGGGTGTTGGAGTCCGTGTGTCTGGAAGGCATCAGGCTGGGGAAGGCCGTACTATACCACATTGACTGTTTCTTGTAAAATAATTATGTAATTATACATGAGGGGGATCCTTTCCCCCCATAAAATGTTTTAGTGGAGGGGGAGGACTATGGTAATTTTTTTTTTTTTGGAAGGTAGATACTGGTAGAGAAATATTTGCTTATCAAGTATTTTTTTAAAGCTGAATGAGATCGTTTCACTTTCATTAAACAGTCATAGGACCAAAAGGGCGATTTCCCTTTTTCAGGATGCATTCCTAGGCTCACTTATTTTGAAGAAGCTTCACTGAAGTTGGTATAGGATTGTGTTGCAAATCTCACTTGCTTTTTCTTTTCAAAACACTCTAAATGTCTTGTTCTTCCTTGACTTATTATTTTAGGAAAGAGCTCTGTGTTTGTTTATACAGTGTATATAAAATGAAGAAAATACTGCTCCCACAAGAAATTAAGAATTACTTTGATCAGTATAAAAGTCTAACTAGTTGAGTAAAGTGTGAAAAATATCCCGGTTTCAATAGTGACATCTCTTAAGATTGGGAAAGACTTCTGCCTGAAACAGTGGAGAGTAATTTACTCTACTGATTCGACCTTGTTATTTATTCATTTATTGCATTTTATAAGTCCCAAAAGCAGAAGCTCTCTGGGTAGTTCACAGAAATGTAAAGGCAGCTTCCTATATTCAGTTGTGTATGTTATTTACAGATATGAAGTTACACATCATCAGGTAATGAAACAAATCACAAACATAAAAGGTTGACGAAAACTGGTCTTAATAGCCATCCTTTAGTCATAATATTTTTATATAACAGTATGCACACAATACACCCACATACTATGGTGTTGTCAAGTCTTCAAATGTGACAACCATAAGAATGAATGCCTTTCTAAGTGTTTTGACTGTGACAGCCCGGTTCAGGTCTTGTAAACTCAGGTCTGTGGTTTCCTTTATGGAATTGATGCAGGTCACATTTGCTCTTACTTTTCTTCTGCCTTTGTCTTTCCGTAGCATTATTGTCTTCTTCAATCAGTCTCCAGTTCACTTTCAGGGCAAGTTCTGCCTTGATTTGAATGAGGACCCACTTGTTTGTCTTGATTGGTCCAGGGTATCCACAAGGTTTTCTCTAGCACCATGTTTCAAACATATCAATTTTCTTCTGGTCATCTTTTTTCACTCTTGCCCACCCATACATAGTGATAGGGAATACAATAGTGTGGATGATCTTGGCCTTTGCCTCCAGTGAAACTGCCTTACTCTTGTTGATCTCTAGTTCCTTCATTGCTTCCTTTCAGTTTCCATTTTCTAACTTCTTTGTTATAGTCTCTATTTGAATTGATGACTCTGCCAAGGCATGCAAAATCTTTCACAACTATTGCTTTGTTAAAGTTGTGTAGTCATGATTTTTACAGTCCTGCCTTTGCACTTTTTTATTTCACTTTCATCAGAAGTCATTTCAGTTCATTCCTGCTCTCTGCCAGTAGTATGGAATCTTCTCCATATCTTAAATTATTGATTATCTTTGCTAATTTTTACTCCTTCCTTTGATTCTAATCCAGTTTTTCTTATGAAATGTTCTGTGTATAGATTGAACAGATAGGGAGAAAAAATACATCTTTGTCTGACACCTTTGCCTGTGGAAAACCATTTTGTTTCCCCATATTCTGCCCTCATGGTAGCTTCTTTTTCACAGTAAGCATCAGAATGATCAAGTGATGAGGCACTCCTGTTTCTTTCAGGGCCATCCATAGCTTCTTCTGATCCACACAGTCTATGGCTTTGCTGCAGTCCATGAAGCATAGTCTGATCTTCTGAAAATTTTTGGTGCACTCCAGTAGCCAAAGTGGATTTGCAGTATGATCCTGACTGCCTCATCCTTTTTAAAATCCAGCTTGAATGTCAGGCATTCCTCACTCCATATAGGGTAATATTGTTTGTTTCAACATCTTGAGCATCAGTTTGCTTGCATGGGAAAGTAGTGCAATTGTCCTATGGTTGCTGCACTCTTTTGCATCTCAGATCTTGGGGATTGGAATGTATATTGAATGTTTCCAGTTTGTGGGCCATTGTTTTGTTTTCCATATTTGTTAACATATCCCTGTTAGAATTTGGAAAGATTCAATCTTTGCAGCTTGGAAGAATTATATTGCTATCCTCTTTACTGTTGGGTACAAAAAGAAGTTCCTTTTGTTTGTTGTCTGACTGTAAGAGAGACAGGCAACACCAGCAAATAATTATTTTTTGTTAGAGCAAAATTGGATGGATATTAGCTTTTTCTGCAGGGGAGAAGTTACTAGCACATCACCCTGCTCTCTGACCCTATTTTCTATGGGTTCAGAGGTTCCTTACATTGTAACTCGGCCCCTTCTAGTTCTTTCACCACTGTTGGCCTTGGTATTTGATTACAGTCTGAGAACTTGGTATGGACCTTTCCACCAGGGCCAAAGGAAATCTTTCCTCTATTTACATACACGCACCCAGTTTTTCAGTTGGATGGATGGCACAGTTCATCTCAGGGAGTGCAACTTAAACATGTGAATGAAAGGCCTTCACAGACTTCATTCGAGCATGCAGTAATAGTATGTTACTTCACTGGCCAACAGAATGCCTTAAACTTATGCCTTAAACTTATAAAAATAAGCCTCTCTTGTTGAGTTTATGGACAATGGTCCAACAACTTCTTGTTTACAGTAATGCCCATGCACATACATGCATATAATTCATTTTGAATACATACAAACTTTAACACGTTTCAAAGAAACACTTGGACAATTGGTGAAATCAAACTCTTTGTTTTTTCTTTCATATTTGCCTACACTCATCCTTCACAAAGCAGGTACACACAGCAATGGTGTTAAGCTATAACAAAATTTGGTGCCAGGCAATTTTTTATGATCTCATATGTGAGAGGATACCAATATGTTTTGTTCCTTTCAAGTGCTTTCAGAGCAGTGTTCACTTTACTTTCTAATATTGAAGGCTCTTCCTGATAGGATTCCTCTTGAAGATGTCTGTCAGCCTTTCATCCCTTCTGCATGTTATTTCCACCTCTTTATTTTCTGCTGATCAGACAGTGTGTCTTCTTGTTTGTCTTTTAGCATTCCTAATCTGTGTTTGAAGTTCCCTTTGAATACTTGGATCTTCTGGAAAAGGTCTCTTGTTTTTCCTCTTTTATTGCTCTCATCTGTTTCTTTGCACTGATCATTCTACCTGATAGTCACTGAAACGTGGCATTCAGGATTCTGACTGCTTTTCTGTTACCTTTTGCTTTTGTTTCTCACCTGTCCTTAGCAAATGTGATTGTTCTTCTGTCATCCATCTAGTCTTTGTCTTTCTTTTTGCCTCAGGAATTATTTTTTTGGCATTCTTCCCTAATAATGTCTCTTTTTTCAGTCCACAGTTCTTCTGGTTCATGGTCAATTAATATGACTATTCCAAATCATTATGTGGACTTTAATTCCCTGAAGAATATTATTTAAATGATATTTTGGCATTATATTTCTGTTAGTGTTCTCTTTTAGCTTTTTGGCTTGACACTGTTTTTTAATTTTTAGCGTTAATGGTCTCTACTGCAAATCTGCTCCTGCTTTGGCAAGAAGAGTACAGCTTCTCCATCTCCTGCTTACATAGTTTGTTTGATTTCTGTGTTGGTCATCTAGTGATGTTTGAG